CCACAGACTGACGCTAGGGGGAGAGAAGTCTAGCATTATGGGTTGTAGCCTTTAGAGTGTTAAGGACGTAAGCCATAAAGTAAGAGAGAGAATAGAGAAAAAAATAAATAAAAAAAGGGGTGGTTCACGTGAAGGAGATAAGGAAAAAAATAAAAAAATTTATGTGTGTGTGGGATGTGGAGACAGTTTGGATCTCTTAAATAAGATTGCATCTTCTTTTATATTTAAATATGAATATTTTATATATTTTAATTAAATTATATTATTTTAATGATTATCGGTTTGATCCCGGTTTGACCTATTAACCCTTGTAATGTCCAGTCTTGTTTTTTGAATCTTGGTTATAACAGAAAATAAAATAAAATATTGAAGTAACCTCAGTATTCCCATATTCCATCCCTTACACTACCGATGCAAGTGGATTGGATAAAACTGAGTAGCATCAACCACCGACCTTATTTTACCTCCGTGGGATTGGATTGTTACTATTTCATCTGATCTACTTGGTTTCTATATAGGAATGTCAGGTAGAAAATATTAATGAATATGGTACTAAATTAACTGTCTTTTACATGTGTTGATTTTATGCATCAGCTTGAATTTGTGCCATAACCTTATATTTCCTGTTTTTAATGTTGCAGCTGCATTGGAAATTCTATTCTTGGTTGGCTTTAAGGAAGATGTTATGTTTGATGAGCTTGGGAAGGCAGAATCATACCTAGTATTGAAACGGAATGATCCTGGCCTATTGTGGTTGGCTAAGTCTTCGCTTGAGTCATGCACTAATTTATAAACCAAGAGTCTGTGGAAGGCAAAGCAGAATGGTAAAGGCAATGCGATTTTATGCATAATGTTTTATATATTGGGGTGATCAAAGATAGACAATTTGTATGGTTGAATGTCGAGTATATACAATTTGTATATAATAAAAGGGTCGGATAACATATGTGGAATATTGAATTTCGGGGTGGTGGGAGAATGGGATTATGTTGGTGGATGAACTCGTTGATCATGTAAGATATCCGGCACATGTTCAACTTGCCTTGTTATATTGTAAGCAAAAGCTAGATGTAAATAGATGTTGTATTGAATGTTGCGGTGTATGAAGATTTAGAAAGAGGATGCTGTGGAAGAAACGGGGAAATGGGTTTGAGTGGTGTGTAAAGTCTCCCCCCCCCCCCACCCCCCCAATTCACTTGGCCTTTCTTGGAATTTAGTAGTTTGAATACTTCTGTTATTGGAAAAGATGAATAAGTTTAGCACTGGTGAAAACTTTTTTATTTTAATCAACAAAGATCCGTAATACTTGTTATATTTTTTAGTTTTTAATAATAATTATTTTTATAATTTCAGTCCCAAATAAGAATACAAGGCACGGAAAAAGGGCATCATATTTCTGGTCATGATAAAGATCCGGCCACAGCTCACGTAGCGTTATTTTGTTAGACAAAATTTGTTGCTTTTGTTTGAGAAACAGTAGAAAGATTGGGAAAAAAACAAAAGATGTTATTAAAATTTTTTAAAAACAAACAAAAAACAAAACAAAGCAGAAAATAATTGAGGTGATTTTCGCTCGAATTGTCATTATTTTATTTTGACATGTTAATGGCAAGCTGCCGAAGGATTTTAGGTTTCGCTCGAATTGTCATTATATATATATTTATCAAATGTTTACCATTGGAACTTGATAGGCACAAAAAAAAAAAAATTGAAACATATGATTTGGCAAATATCAAGTAATAAAGAGTGAGTAGAGTATCATTTGTACAAATATTTGTAACGACTCAATTGATAATCAACTTTACATTTTCGTGCACACAAAGAATGAAAATGAAAACGATAATTAAATTTTAAACGATAGTTAGGGTTAGTGCTGATTTGATGCAAAGAACTAATATTTGAGGATTACTATTTACTAGCCGAACTAATTTTTTTAATACTTATAACTATTCAACTCTTATATTTAAAATGAGAGGAATTACTTATTTAGTACAATTTCCGAGTATGCAAACTAAGGGTGGGTGAAAGTGCAAGTTGTAAGGGTGCAAATTCCTTAGGTGAACTTTTTCAAGGTTTTAGGCACACTGATTTTTATTCAGAAATAAGATGGATCTGGGAGGAGGGGGATCCGCAACAGATGCTTTTCCTCTTAACCAATATGGTATAATGCTTTCCTCCAAAAAAAACTTCATAGCCCAAGCCCAAATTGAATTCCTTGGAGTAATATTTTATAATGATTTCTACGAGCCTGGTTCCCACATTGCATAGGAATTACTCAATTTCCTAGATGACAACTTGTCAGTAGAACGGATTCAACAGTTTTTGAGAATTGTAATTGTGTTCGTGACTTTATTTTTGATATGACCAAATATACTAGTCAGCTGTCCAAACTCTTTAAAAAGAATTCTATCCTTTGGGGAAAAGACCTAACTGCTGTAGTCAAAAAGCTTAAAGAGATAACACAACATCCTCCACCATTCAAAATTCCAGGAATTGGGCAAAAGACTCTTCAAACTAATGCAAGTGATCATTATTGGAGTGCAGTACTTTTTGAAGAAGTTAATAAAAAAAAATATTATTGTAGACATGCAAGCGAACAGTTAAAAAAACCAGAAAAACATTATCATGTCACTTACAACGAGATCTTGGCAGTAAAAAAAAAGGAATTGAAAAATTCAATTTTCATTTTAATCCTTTTGATTTTATTGTTGAGATGGATAACACTTCATTTCCCTCCATGTTTGAAACTAAAACCAAATGCACAACTACTTAGGTGGAAAAACTGGTTCTCTTACTATAAAATCATAGTAAGACATATCAAGGAGGCATCACAACACACTTGCTGGTTACCTATCCAGACTTCCTAAGGTTCAACTTCTCACTCCAAGAAAACCCCTTAGTGTCCTTACCATAAGCAAGATGACTGATCAAATGTCCTTTACACCTAGAACTAAGTTTGTCTGTCATCCTCATCATGATTTCTGTCTGCCTTGACCCACCTACCAATCATCAAGATATCCAAAACCTAGCCAGAAAAAACCTATTTTACTAGTCACACCATCTTATTATCAACAACAATCTTTGTCCCTTTCCTATCATGTTTGACATTAACAGGCCTTACCTCATAGTTCCTATGATTAGAGGTTCTATCCCTGAAGTGATGAAATATTATGTTTGGTATCTTTCAACCCTCTATGCTTGTTCCTTTGTCCTTGAACCTTGGCCTATTTACTACTACCTTTGTGATAGTGAAAATGAAGGTTCTTATCTATGTTACAATGGTTTTCTCCCCTTCATGTTTGGAGAAAAACTCTTAGTGACGTTATCCAACAATTTCAACTCCACACCATCCTAGTAGATAAACAAGTGTCCTAGTGCTCCTTTGTAGTCCACAGACCTTACAACATGGACTTTGAAGGAAAACTGTATACTACTAGTCAAGCACCTTACTGGCACATCAATCAAGATTAGCCAAGATATGAAGAATCAACTCTAGGAAACTTAAGGATTTTCTTAAGTAATTTGAATAATTGTCTTGATGCTAATCCTAAGCTCATTTGCACTTCACTTAGTCCTATTCCCAATAGACCTTTCATACCAAGAAATCCAGCTCCCTAGCATAGACAACCCAGACATGAGGAATTTACGTACTCTAGCTACTTTACAACTGTTAAATTAGTCCAAAGTAGCTTCACCTGCTGCTTCCTTTTCTCATCCAGATATTTTGAGAAACGTCTCACCCTCCTTTTTAGAGATCCAACCTTCATCATCTAGCCATGGGGGTGGACCACTTTCTCAAAACCCATAGGGATCAGAAGAGGACACCAATTTTGGCAATAATGATTCTGATGAGGACCCCAACTTATTGAAGCGATGAGTCTATCTTTAAATAAAGCAGGCTGATCTGTTAGGAATATACTTTTAGTACAAGCATGTTTACTTTTGTTGAGTGCTTTTACTTTATGTCAAACATCATGTTTTCTTGCTTTTATAAAGTAGGATGGGTTGTAATAATTTAGTTTGTCTTGTAATATGTCAAAAAGTCTATATAAACAAGCCTCTGGTTTTCTGAAAGGGCATCGAGTGTTGTATTCACTTCTTAAGAATGAAAGTATGTTTTTCATGATGTCTCACCAAACTCTCTCTTTCTGAAAGCTTGTTCTATCTGCTTATAGATTCAAGTATGTTCTACACTTGCCTCACATAAGGATCCTGTGTATTAGAAAAAATTTGACCATAATCCTGTGAGATGATCTCTTAATAACTAAAGAACTTTAGTCTAGAGTTTTATAGATTGAGGTCCTAATGTGGTTTCTGTGGGGTCAGGTGAGCCGATTGAGAGACCTTGACATGATAAGACTAAGTCTCATAGGTTTTAAAGAGGCTCACCTGCATGGTATTATGAAATTGAATCACACTTTGGACTCAATTTACCTTGCTTGGCAAATGCATAGCAGGAGGAAAAGTGAGAGTGGTTTCGAGAGGAGAAGAGCAATGTGTTTTGAGAGTTATATGTTTAAAACATAAATAAATAAATTGAATGTGAACAATCTAAAATCAACATTAATGGTTTGTTGGCAAAGAAAAAAAAAATCAACATTAATGGTTCAAATTAGGACAAGCATTTTATCCGTATCTTTTTCATGAGCATCGAATCTGCTCTCAGAAAATGCTCCCACTGTTTCCTTAAATAAATCAAAAAGAGAAAACTACCTCATATGACCCATATATTTTGTTTACTTAAGAACATGCCCCATTTGTTTAGTTAGTTGGGTTCGGGTTCCAATCCATAAAAAGTGGACTTGTTATAATCCAACAATTTTTATCGGTAGCATTTGGAGATCCTTGAATACCAACTCATTTGATTGTTTTAGCAAAATAATTAACATAAATTCATCACATAAATAAATATATGTGACTTACAACATGCCCTACACGATGAAGTTGGAAGAAATTGAAGCAAAGCTAGATATATAGGGTGACAATTAATTAATCAGAATTTATAAGCAACTAGGAGGGCTTTGTTTGCCATAAGAAGCACCATGGACATTTGAACATGAAGTGGTGAGCTCATGAAAAGAAGAAGAAAGTTGAGGCCACAGATTAATGTCTTGCAATGTGATATCATGGCATGGCTTATCTTTGCTGCAATTCAGTGTCACTCCAACTTCACTCCTGCTACTTCCTTGAATATTCTTGTACCTCACCTTACTTATCTCCACTTGTGAGCTCACCTTCAACCAAAAAAAAAATCACAACAAAAAAGTCATATAAATAAGCTATAACTCCTTGTTCTAAATATAAAATCAAATCAAATTAAGGAATTTATTATAATTTTAAATGTAAGACTTCAATTCATTTTGTCTCTTAAATATGATTTTTTTCCTCCCAAGCTGTCTTTATTGATTATTCATATTAAAGGGGATTCCCATTAGGTGGGGTGGTTTCAATGTACTACTCTAATCCTATTTGTAAAGTATATCCTCTTATTTAATATCTATTTGATACTAAATGTAAGCATTTTTCTCCGTAAAAATTAGAACATTAATTGGTTTGCCATAGTGTAAAGGACTAATTCCTTCCATTAAACACAATCCCTAAGGTTTGTAATATTTACATGTACTCAATATCATGATTTGAACAAAGGGGAAATCTAACTCTGGCAGCCTCAAAATTTTTATTTTCTCTTCCGTCCCATTGTCAAAAATTTCTAGTTTCATCTCTGCATCCACCACTATTTATCTTACAAAAATGTTTATTATGTATCCTATGAAAAAAAATTAATGTATATAATTAGAAACATCTAAATTTAATCTAAACAATTCATCATAACTATTACGGCAAACGTAGAGGATATGAAAAAATATTTTTGAGTTAATACAAAACATCAAACGCATCAAAATATCTACATTTATTATTTCGCCCAAAATAACAAAGGGTTTTGATAACAGTTTAAATTGATATAAAAATTAATCTTACTCCAAATCACCATAACAAGTCTAATTAAGTTCAAATGAAACTACTACTGTACAAGTAAAACACTTAGCTAGGAGAATTAATTAGAAGCACAAACCTGTGTTTCACAATGAGGATATGGGCAATATTGTTGATCAATAATGATGGGATCCCACACATCATTCATAACAATATCTTCATACACAAAATTAGAAGCCTTCAAGGGTTTGCTCAAACGAGAAGCCCATGTCTTAATTCTCACACCTTTACTTGTTCCATCCAATGTGCAATTCTTCACAATAATGTCTTCTACATCTTCTTCACCATCTTCCTTACCAAGGCTTCCCACACTGATTCCATGTCCGGGGCCGCACGTCACTTCCGATATCCACACAGTTCGGGTGCCGGAGATCATCGCAATGCAATCGTCACCCGTACTAATTGTACTTCTTGTTATGTTTATTCTGATGGATTTCCCAATTTTGATGCCATCAGTGTTTGGACTATCTTCAGGAGCAGATATTCTTATCTTTGTGAAGTTCATGTTTTTACAACCGAATAGCACAAAGTGACTACTTTTGCTATCGATGGAATGAATGTGATGGACTCGACCGTTGGTGATGAAGTCAAATCTCATGTTCTGATATCATTGGAAAAATTCAGGGAAAACCAATCAACAGAGGATGTTATATGTGGAACAAATTAAAAGAATAAATTTACAAATTCATTATTATGTGAAATATATTAATTTTAGATTCTTACCACCTAGATATTTACTTTACAATTCAAGTGCAAATTAGTTTTTTTTTAAAAAAAAAATTAGAAATTGGATGGATTTGGATATACAAATAAAATGCTTGAAAGATTCGATAATTGTTTGATCACCGACCATCATTTCTTGATTTTTATTTCCTTTTCTAAGATGGGAATTGGGAAATATAATAATTACATTTTAATGGTTCTAATGGATATAATTTATTTTAATGTTTTGATAGAACGAGCGGGAGAAATTTGAATTTGTTAGAATTAAGACATTTCATTTATGTAATTAACGTCTATCATAATTTTGTTTACTTCTAATTCTTTATATGACAGAAAAGAAGTGTTTTTCTCTTCAAGAAAAGAAGAGTGAATTAAAATAAACAAAAGTTTAAAATTATTTTTGACCAGCGCAAAAGTTTAAATGAACAATATCTCTTATCTCTATTTTCATTTTAGTACCTTGCATCCCACATAAATAAATTGAAGATAATGTATATTTTTTGCCTGTAAAATATATATAAATTTATAAAAAGAAAAAAGAAAGAAAAATAACATACTGAAGCTAGCTGCTGGCAATTACGGTTGTTGCCGCAGTCACTGTGGTGCCAAGCCGTCGCGCCTTGGCCGTCCAACTTGCCGCCGCCGAAGACGGAGAGGTTATCAACATGTCGGAAATTGATCCATTTGTCAGTGAATGGACCAGCCGGAGCCATTAGAACTCCTTTAATCACAAACGCCATCAAACCCTTGCATGGTCCATCAAATGTCACTGGGTGAAGCTGAAAGGTCCCTTCTGGGATCCAAACCCTAGCTTTCCCTTCCCATCCACACGCTTCTTTCCATGCTCTCAAAAATGCCTTTTGTTTCAAACAAAATACCAATAATCAATTATCTCTGTGTGAGTATACACACACCTATAGCGAACGGTAAAAATTGGGCGTGAGAGAGAGAGAGAGAGTGATATATATTGAAGTGTATGAAATATGAATAACATATACATATACATATATAGTGCTTGTTGAGTCTTATTTTTTTTTAATAACAAAAGGTATATGTGAAGTTGTGAAGACTTACTAGGGCATATTTCTAAACTCAAAGAGCTCTCACCAAGATATTTACAGATTTTCTATCCATAAGATTCTCATCTCAATGGTAGGATTTGAACTCCTAACCTTGTGAGATCTGAGTAATGACTCCTCACTAGCTGGACCAATCTTGTTAAATCTTATTAACATATAATTGCCCAAGCTTCTTATTGAATCGTAACTGAATCATCAACTTTTGAGAGTAATATATTACCTGACTGCTATCTGTCTTGCCATCTTCAGTTGCACCATAGTCTTTGACATTGAAAAACTTGACATTGGAACCACTTTCTGCAAAACAGAATAGCATAAGAAACACCAAGAAAGCATTCTGCAGAAAGGAAAATTTCACACCCATTTCTCTTTCTCTTGATCTTCTTAACTATTCTTCCCTGGAGAAGGATATGTTTTGTCACACACATATATAATCATTAATTAGAGGATATTGGAGGGAAATGAAAAGGGGAAAGTTCTAAAATTGTTGTCTTTTTATTGCATTGAATTCGATTGGCTTGAAGATAATATTTCGACTTGGAAAAAGTTGGTAAAAAAATTAAAATACGATTTATCCAAAAAAAAAAAAAAGTTAATCATTGTCATTATTGCGGACAAATTTAATGCTGTTAAAATTCGGATGTCATGTGAGAAAAATACTTTGAAAGGCTTAAAAATTACTTTAGACAAGAGGAAATAATTTTTCATTGTTAAGATATCAAGTTAATTATTTTTATTTTTGTTTATTATTGATAAAAAATATCTCTTTATATGATAATATTAAACTTTGATGTTCAAGTGATAAAAGTTCTTGCCATTTGACCGTTGAAAAATAATCTCCCCATTTATTGCCGAAAAAACAAATCTTTACTTTTAAAGTTCTCTCCGATAATTACTTTTTTATGCTCTACGCCCCCTCATTTATGACTTAAGTAATGTAATTTTCCTAGACATTATTTCCTAAGCTTTGATTTCGGGCATTCTTCATGCCATTTCCACACCAAAATCTTGCATTAATTAGTCCGATATGAGTGGATTAAGTTAGACTAAAAATTACAAAAAGATTAACTTACACATTCTTATAGTCTATGTCAATGTTTTTTGGAAAAATTCTTAGAAAAATGACTGTTGAATTTTAAAATTTCAAATTAGTAAAGGTTACTACACTTGTAAAAAAAATGACTACGTTTTTTAAGTGACAACATATTTTTGTAATAATTTCTAATTTAAAATTTTGAAATTCAAAGGTGCGAAAATATTTTGTGATACATCCAGTACTTTGAAATATTTTTTTGAATGCGTCCAGTATCATGAAGTATTTTTTAGTGCATCAAACACCTTATATTATTTTTTTTTTAAGTGTGTCCAACATCAAAAAATATTTTTTAGTGCACCTAGCACCAAAGCAAAAAACATACTTTAGGGTGCTGGATACACTGAAAAAATACTTCGAAGTGCTAGATATATCGTAAAATATTCTGGGGTGTTGAATATACCTGAGAAAATACTTAAGGATGCTGGATGCGTCATAACCCATTAAATTAATTTCAAATGTATCAAATTATAAATTGACGACATATAACCGAGACATCTTTATCCTTCCACTATTGTAGGAAAGGCTTACTTTACACTGCCTCTGGTCCATAATATATACAAGACATTAGCTAGAAGAAAATTATTGTCCAAAATATAAGAAGGTTTTAGGATAATTAACGTAAATTTTTTACTTTCACCGTTGTTAAATATAAGAGAGAGATGAGAGATAATAAAAATGTAACATTAACATAGCTTTATCATTTTTAGGGGTAAGATAGAAAAATTTTATCATTTTAGGACACATTTAATTATTAAACTTCAATTGCTTAGTATGGGAAAAAGTTAATCAACTTCTTATATTTTGTATAGGAATGAGTAGTTAACTACTGTCAAGCTTTTGCGTGTAACTGAAACTTGGCCGTTTATGCTTGATAGTTTTTAACCTTTAAATGAGGGGTCATTTATTTGACGGTTAAACGAAAAGGTCAAATATTGATACTCTAATTTTGGTAATAGATAGTACCGTTTGGACCTTTTTTTTTTTTAATAACAAAATAAAGTAATTTTGTTTAAGGGATTGTCAAGCATTATATATGTGCAGTTGTGCACCAGTAGATCTTAATTCATCATGTTGTGAAACTAACCTTTTCTACTAAACTTTTTTAACTTTATTACTTAACAGTATTTTAACCAATATAAGAGATCATTTATTTGATGATTACAGGTCAAAAAATTTATTTTATGATTCCACAACAAAAGTCATTAAAAAGTGATGTTGCATTGTATTACCAAATCACGTGTACGTACCAATTTTTTATTATAGGGATTGCTTTTCAAGCAATTTCCTTGCATTATAATTAATCAATATCAGTATGTCAACAATCAAACCAAAAACACAATTACAATATAGTCAAATCCATATACATTGAACCAAATTCAAAATCCAATTGTCACATGGCAACGTAACAAAGCATGATCTACTTTGTTGGTATACTATCGAGTGACATTATAATATTCGTCGATGAATCTTGTATGAATATTCAGCATACATCTCTTTAAAAATTGAACATTATTCTTACAAGAACAATCAATCAACTAATTTCTATATAATACAAAACCTTATCCCTTAATAAGTTTATACAAATAAGGAAGGATATCATGTCTACGACAAAAAAAGAAAAAAAGAAATTTATTCTAACATCAACTTTATTTTAACAACTAATATACGACTATCCAATAAATAGTTGTTCCATTCTAAAATACAGATAAAAGAGTATTTCATTTTTGTTATATAAAATAAAAATAAATTGGTGAGTAGATCAGGTCTTATTACATAATTTATTCCTAAACTAATTTAAGAGTATGTAAATAAATATTAAATCATTATTAGTTTCTCAAGATGAGAGAGTCATACTTCAATATTTCATATATAGGAGATGTTCGAAATAAATATGTGTAAATGCTGCTGGTAAAAAAAAAAAAATGTGTAAATGCATTTTTGTTGATGCAGATGTTACAATATAGAAGAGGTAAGCATTATTATTGATGCACGTGTAAACTTTTTGCTGAACTTATTATCATAATCATGTGTATTTAATAAAAATAAAAACCAAGGAAAATAATATTTCAACTTAAATAATAGAACGTCCCCGAAATTGGCGTGCATGCTTATGTATAAGTGTCATAAGAATGGACCTGCTTCTCTCTTGATATTTTCCATTCGCAGCCTTTCCTTTCTTCCAAACGACGCTGTTTTCAATGCTTGAAATAAAATCGCAGCCACACATATGTTTTTAATCGAAGCCGTTGATTTTGAAGGAGTTCTTGAGGGAGTTTGCTCTTCGTTTTACAGAGCCCACCGTCCCACCGATTGGATTTCATTGATCGAATGGAGTAAGTCCGAAAATCCCAACTTTTTCGGCATCGAGTTTGCTCTTCATTTTGCAGAATCCACCATTTGGACTTCATTGACCAATTGACGTAAGTCCAAAGCTCCTATTTTTTCAAGCATCTTCCTCTATCGCCGATTGAAGAGCAAGAATATACCCTCTGTCTCTCATCGATTGAAGAGGAAGAGGATATGGTCTGTGATGTAAAACAGGAAGAGAAAAGGGAAAGGGAAGATATCAGAAAGAGCAGAGAAGGAAAAATAAACAAGGAAGAAGAGGAAGCCAGCTGAGAGAAAATGATAATTGCAATCTCATTCAAGAATCAAGTTTGCCGTCTAATGAGAAACCTAACATTACTTATACTAAAATAATAATAAAACTAAAAATAATAACAACGACAACAACTAATCCTAATAATAAAATAATAAAATCTTAAGAAATCTAAATAAATCCTAAAAAACTAAATAATCTAAATATCCTAGATAATTCAAATATTCTAGAAATATAATAAAATCATAATTATTTCTTTCCATATCCCATCATTTCTCCCTTGCTTGAAGAATTCGGCTCCCGACGAGTTAAAATTGATGCACAAATCTTACAAGGAGGTAGAGGTGAAGAGCTCGGCACAGTACTTTGATTTGGGAATCTCTTCGAACGAGCGAGGTACCAAAAGAGGAACCATTGGCAATAGTGAGCAACTGGATCTTGGGTAGTATCTATAAAACCTTTCTAACATACAAGATACTGTTGGAGTGATTTGTTTAGCAATGAGACAATCTTAGAAGGTGCAGCTTTCAAACGAGATGGCACTATAGAACAATGAAATTGAATCTTGTTGGCCACAATCTGAGAAGAAACTACTTGCACTTGTGCTAACTGAACAACCTGATCAGCGTTTGAAGAAATTTTGCCATTAACAGTAATAAAATCAGGGGTCTCACTCAATTGAATCGTAGACATGTTTAGTGGTGGCTGTTGAGTACTATGGATGGCCGTTGCATGAGTTGTGGGCACCACTTCACTTGGCTTCACAATATCTTCTTTCATGTTTAATGAAGGAGCTTTGATCTCTATTGTTTTGGTTCCTTAGAGAGCATTTTCCACTTAATTCTCTGAATTACTGATAAATTTTATAAGCTTATCAATTCCTTCATTAACTCATTTTTCAAACTTATCGAGTGCATAAGCTTCCAGCAGTCAAGTTTAGCTTCAAGTTGTTTTATTCGCACCTTGTAATCAAGTTGTCATTGCATGACATTCTCATAACTCTCATAAGCATGATTAGCATACTTATATTTTTATGATTAGCATATTCATATTGACCACAATCTAAGTAATGGTATTGATACTCATTATCTCTAAAACCTTATCAGTACCGAAATAGTGCGTCATACTCATATCAGCCCTCTATATACATGCTTTCTTTACAGCTCATATTCACAAATCAACAGCATCATAAGTTCTCTTTTGTTCTACTCTTTGTTTCCTCCATTTTTTCGATTTTTTTCCTTTTCTTTTTTTTTTTTGCTAAATTATAAAATGAGTAAACAGATAAGCAAATAATATCCTTAAAATAGTAGAGATAATAGATCGAAGCAAAAATAGTAACTTGTATGTTAAAAATACTCCAATATTATTCTGATGCTTATCTTTGACTGCTAGGAGATCCAAAATTGAACAATGGTTGAATGGGGTCGTAAGTGAAATGTTCACAAGACTAGGTCCCAATACCCTGGGTCATAAAGTGTAATTTTTGTGAAAACCTAATTCTGGATGTTCCAGAACCGTGACGGTGCATAGATGTAGGTGAGAAAACCGTTGGTAGTGAAACATTGGTGGTCATCCATGTTGTTCAAGGCAAGTAAGACTGGGTTAGTTTTAAGGCATTTTAGTATTGAGAAAGTGGCTAAACAGAAGGTTGAGAGTCAGATTGTGAGAGAAGTTGAGAAAAGGCATATTTGGCTAGAAAAACATACTCTAAGCACAAAGAAGGAGATGGAAACTAGGCTCTGATGCCAAATTGATGTAAAAAAGGAAGAAAAAAAGGGAAGGGAAGAGATCAGAAAGAGCAGAAAAGGGAAAATAGACAACAGAGGAGAGGAAACCAATCGAGAGAAAATGATAATTACAATCTCATTCAATAACCAGTCTGCCATCTAATGGGAACCTTAAAGTTACTTATAATAAAATAATAATAAAACTAAAAATAACGACAACAACAACTAATCCTAATAATAAAATAATAAAATAATAAGAAATCTAAATAATCTAAATGTCATAGATAATTCAAATATTCTGAAAATATAATAAAATCATAATTATTTCTTTTCATATCCTATTAGTCTGATATTGATCTTTCTCTCTCATGAATTGAATAGGGTAAAACAGACCATGGCTTATGAGTCTCTTTTTGAGCAAGGTTGCTTGGTTCATAGCACTATTAGATATCTTGTTTGTTTTCTTCTCTTTCTGCATATTATTATGCTAGTTATATGTTCTTTTTTGTGATTTCTTCTTGCTTAGGTAGTTTCAGTTACTGAGCATTTCTTTGATTCCAAATAATTTATTATTGATCTCTTTTTTACTGCTAATGTACTTGTTTAGATAGTAGTTTGGAAGTTTTAATTATCCATGCATCCTCCTTTCTTTTTTTTCTTGGACTATCAATATGAGACATATTATTAATGATCATCCTTCTTGCTTTCTTTAATAATGCATATGAGGTTATTTATGTAGCAGTGGTAATCTGAAGCCATGGCTTGACATTGCAGTCACTCAATTCAAGGACAAATTATGTTGGCTACAACTTGGAATTCGTCCAATCTTGCAATATTTGGCATCTAAATTTGTAAAGCTTCTGCTCTCTGGTTGCTGCCACTATATCTCTTATCCATCAATTCCATTATTTTCTGTGTAGTTTTAATATCCAATACTCATAAGTTTGACAATTTGTAGCCGTCAAAGGAAAAGTATTGCTTATTTGCAATTGTATTGTATTTTAGTATCTATAATTCTTAGTTTTCTTTTTATTTATTCTTAAAGCTTATTTAATAATGTTATCTAAATAGATGTTGATATAGAAGAAACAAGAAAGTTACAAAA